ATGATGTTGATATCTCTCTATCTGAAAACACGGCATACATTTCAGTGTGTGGTATAATGGGTGCTCTTCATTGTGATGCTTGTGATTTCACATATTTCCACTGTTGTGTCTGGGCCCTTACCCCAAATTTTCCTTCTTCCTAATATGAGTCATATGAGTCTTCCTCCATAAGCAGCTCCTTTATCTGGACTAATGACTAAGACTTCAGGACTAAACAATAACAACAACAACAACAACAACACAACAACAACAACTATATATATGTAGCTCAGGCACTACTTTTTCCACTTCGCCTCCTTCATCACATGTGTGCAGAGGCTACAACAGTTCTCAGCACATGGGAGTGCTCATTACGTGATTGTTAAAGAAAATGAAAGAGGAGATGCTTTTCCTCTTACTTTTTCCCATAGTATCTTGATCTTACTGGTAGCAAATAACTTTTGCTTTGTATTCTAATCACTTGTACATGTTTTTTCAAGTAAACTTTTTATAGTAGTAATTAACTCTTGTTCAGCTCTTTGTCCCAACACCTAACACAGTATTTGGCACACAAGCGCCTAATAAATACCTGTAGAAAAAATGATGGGTGAAGTTTTATGGGTCCCTTGGATTCAGAAATGCCCTGGCCATTTATATCGACCTCCCATTCTTCCATGGGCTCCACATACCTCAGGTAGTTCTTAAGAGAGTGTTCTGTAGGTTAGAATTATTATTTCATTTCCTTGGAAAAAGATGAGAAGAAAAATTATGCTGGTAGAGGTAGGGTTCTCATGGAATTTTTTAAAGAAAATTAACTTCAGAGGTCTTAGATATATAATGTTTGTGAATAAATGTACCTGACACGGAAGTGCAGGTCTGTTTGCATTTTGTCTAAGGATTAGTAAAGATAAGCAGAAAATACTTACTGATTGAAATGAGAGAAGCATGGTATAACAACGGCAATGGATTGAGGACAGTGCGGGTCTAGTCCTCCCTCACTCTCTACGATTTTCCATCTCACTGAGAATGTTTCCTTAACTATAAAATAACCAGGGAATGACAAGAGCCTGCATCTCTGACAGCCATCATCCCATGCCATATGTAAAGCAGTAATCACATCAGCCTCTTTGTCCCCTTTTCTCTGAGTTTACAATATATTAATATTTTCTAATTTTCCTTTAAACACTTATCTCGATGGTGTTTATATTAAATATTCACAATAAGTGAAACCACATTTCAGGAAATATCTTTTCTTGTTTCTTTTTTTTCTAAGACATAATTTCCATGTGTTCTTTCCTTTTCCTCCTTCATATGCCCCTGCCTGCCTCTCCTTGTATCCTCTCTCCCATCTTTTTCAAGGGAAATTGCATTATGGCATTTTTCATTCATTCCCAGGTAATTACCAAAATGTTTTGTTGTTAGAATGACTTGATATTTAAAATGTCAATACTTTAAAATTAAGAAAAGGACAACAGAAACTGATAGGTTTGTGCTTTGAAGGGGATTTTATTTCATCAGCACTCCCAGCAAGAGGAAAGAGGGAATGCTGGCATTTCACTGGTCTGGTGTTGGAAATGGGGAACCTGAGATAGATGTATTGGATCAAGCCTCCTGACTGGGGCCATCTCTTCTGACCCTATGAATCAAAGATCCTGATGCCTTATTCTTTGTTTTGTCCACTTGGCCTTGTACCACACTTACATATTTCAAAATGTTAGCTTCCTCTGTATTTTCCTCTAAGACTCTTTATTTTTATTTTTTTCTTTTGCGACAGAGTCTTGCTCTGTCACCCAGGCTGGTGTGCAGTGGTGCAATCTCAGCTCACTGCAACTTCCACCTCCCAAGGTTCAAACAATTATCATGCCTCAGCCTCCCGAGTAGCTGGGATTATAGGCACACCACCATGCCTGGCTAATTTTTGTATTTTTAGTAGTGACAGGATTTCACCATGTTGGCCAGGCTGGTCTCGAACTCTTGACCTCAAGTGGTTTGCTCACCTCAGTCTCCCAAAGTGCTGGGATTACAGGCATGAACCACCGCACCAGCCCCTCTGAGAGTCTCTTACTTTATGCTCCTCATTCATTGGTGTCACCCTTTTCATGAATGGCAGTATACCAAACTCTGGTTGTATGGCCCTTGAAGCAAATGGTACTGTGTAGGTTCCTCCTTTCCTGTGGTATAGATATGACACTGATGCCGAGGAAAGAAGCAAGGTTGTCAAGAAGCTTGCTTTATTTATATTCGATCATTAAGAAAACCCACAGTCATCACCAAGTCTTAGCAGAAGACTGCAAATGTCTGGACAAATGGGAAAAAACACACTCCAGCTGCAAGGAAACACACTGCCTTCTTTAGTGAGCTCCCAGAAACTGCTCTCCACCATCCTCTCACTGTTAGCCCTCAAATGTGCAGAGGCCAACCAGGCAAGCCTCCCACGCTGGCTGCTCCAGAAAGCACATCTGTAACTTGGAGCAATTTGCCACATTGTCCTCTTATCCGTAACCACCCAGGCAAAGGAGAAAGGATGATTAGTACACAAAGGATTGGTTCTGTCGTGAAAGAGCCACATGGGAACAGCCCATAGCACTCCCAGATTAGTTGTCTGAATGAGGGGGAGACAGGGTGGCAAGTTTGCCTCTAAGAAACAGTTTATCTGAAGTAAGTTCTCAGCTTTCTCTTCGAGTTAATATTCTGCTTCGAGTTAATATTCCTCACAGTTGAAGGGATTTATAAGAACTTAATTTTCCCCAATACTTTAAGCTTTAAACAAATAGAACTATCTCATCTCTTTCACTGTCTTATCTACTGAAAATTCTGCAAGCTTGGAAGCATTTGGAAACATTTAAACTATGGCATATTAATGTTTTGTTAGTGGAAATATGATTTAGAAAGAAATATTACCACCTTTGTGATTTAACCTGTGATTTCTAAGGTGTGGGGAATACCAGCATTTTATTTCTGGCTCAATTTTTGTTTTGACATGAGCATGCCTCCTCTTCTCTTCCCCGAGTGCTTACAAGAATACATCACAATTTAAAAAAAAATTAAAATGAATTAATTTTGTATGTTTTAAATTGTTGTATTTCAGTGACATGAATGAGTGTTAGACTAGGCCGGGCGCGGTGGCTCACACCTGTAATTCCAGAACCTTGGGAGGCCAAGGCAGGCAGATTACCTGAAGTAAGGAGTTCAAGACCACCCTGGCTAACACGATGAAACCCGGTCTCCACTAAAAAAATAAAATAAAATAGCCGGACGTGGTGGCTCACGCCTGTAATCCCAGCACTTTGGGAGGCCGAGATGGGTAGATCACGAGGTCAAGAGATCGAGACCATCCTGGTCAACATGGTGAAACCCTGTCTGTACTAAGAATACAAAAATTAGCTGGGCACGGTGGCACACGCCTGTAGTCCCAGCTACTTGGGAGGCTGAGGCAGGAGAATCGCTTGAACCCAGGAGGTGAAGGTTGTGGTGAGCCAAGATCACGTCATTGCACTCCAGCCTGGGTAACAAGAGCGAAACTCCGTCTGAAAAATAAATAAATAAATAAATAAATAAAATAAATTAGCTGGGCATAGTGGCACATGTCTGTAGTCCTAGTTACTTGGGAGCCTGAGGCAGGAGAATCACTTGAACCCATAGGCAGAGGTTGCAGTGAGCCCAGAAAAAAAAAAAAAAGAAAAGTGTTAGACTAGAATCCTGTACAAGCAATTCTTTCCCTTGCTCCTCGACTTAGGGCATGTCACTCTACCCCTCTTGGTTTCAATTTCCCTAAGTATGAAATTGGCCTGAGATTGTCTTGCCCTCAATGAGATAATATGTGTGTTGGTCTTTGGAAAGTTAAAAAGATTCTGTTGAAACAAATGTAAGCTTTTAGCACATTTATTTATCTTTTAAACACATATGGTGCCCTAGAATTTATCATTTCATGATATTTCAGAATTTGTTTTCAAATGTCTCTCATTATGGAGTATAAAAAGGTGTAACTTATCCAAAACACCAAGTTGTTTGACAATTTTGACCACCAATGTTTAGATGAGTTTGGGATATATGTTTAATTTGATTTTATAAATTTCAATGACTTGAATCTGTGATTACTAGTGCTTAGTGAAGTGCTAGTAAAGACACAGATGATGGAGAATTTACTAATTACATACTAATAGGTTAAGAAAAACTTAATGTAAAGACTAGATATAAAGGTCAATGGTCTGTCCTCTAAAAAAAATATTTTAAAGTCCATGTATTAGGTCTTCACATAAATTTATAGATACAGAATCTGTGACTTCTTTTCTTAATCTAACTATATTTATAACATTAATAACAGAAAATGTTATTCAATTTGTTTAGCATTCTGTTCCAAGATTTAGTTAGTTACTGTAGCTGCTCATTTGTTAGCATGAATTAAGATCAACATGAGATCATGTTTTACGCAGGGATATGGATGGAGCTGGAAGCCATTATCCTCAGCAAACTAACACAGGAACAGAAAACCAAACATGACATGTTCTCACTTATAAGTGAGAACTGAGCAATGAGAACACATGGAACTAGGGAGGGGAATAACAGACACTGGGACCTGTTGGTGGGGGTGGAGGGAGGAAGAGCATCAGGATAAATAGCTAATGCATGTAAGGCTTAATATATAGGTGATGGGTTGATAGGTACAGCAAACCATCACAGCTTATGTTTACCTATGTAACAAACCTGCACGTCCTACACATATATTCTGAAACTTAAAATAGAATAAAATATATTTTTAAAAGATCCACTTGAAAGATATATTGTTGTTTTGCAAAATATATTTTAAAAGGATCCACTTGATATATTGTTGTTTTGTAAAAAATCTTATTTTTTTCAAAGAGTAAGAAGTTGGCAAACTAACAAGTCCACAAATATCAACTAAGAAGGTGGGAGAATAGCAAATATTTGGTGTTGCTTTCAGATCTCACTCTGCATGATTCTTTCATTCTTTTTCTCTCCTTCTCCTGACCTTTTCAACCTCTTTTCCTCTTTACCTCTAGGAAGAAGCCTCCAGTGGAGGAGGATACTCACTGAAAAACTACATGGAAGAAGTGAGTTTTAACGTTGTCTTCTAATATAGTCTAAAATCAGTCTATGATACAGGATGAAGCACTCACTTGGGCTTTCTCCATCTACCTGTAGGGTTTCTAGTCTGTATGTGTTCAACGGTCATGTCCACAAAAAAGAGATAATAAGTAATATGTTGGCAAAATAGTTTTTGATCCTCATTGGTAGAGAGGGACTGCGTATCATTGCAGTGATCCTGAACATGAAGGTAAAACTGCACAAACCTGGTACTAATATGTATTTTCATACACAAACATTTGTTGATATCCAAATAAATGAGAATCATATGGTTTACATGGGGGTGTGCACACAAAAAAAGACACAACCATTTTTTTTTTAAAAGAACAATGTATACCAGGTATGCATCCATTCATGGGACAAGTGGTCATCAGGGATGATATTCATGCATGCCATTATGCAAAGGGCTATCCCAACAATTAAACATATGGTAGATTTCACTTGGAAACTTTTTTGACTTCTGGATTTATTATTTTTGGAGATATCCAAGGGTGTTCTGTGTCATGGAACTTTGGACTGATGGCAAATTATTTGGGTACTCTCAGAGAAACCAGTGGGCATAGTCCATAAAACTTGGTCTGAAGCCAGACCACCATGGCCACTAAATTAGCTATCTGAATCCACTGCAGGTGGAGGGAATTGGGGAACAGTTTTGTGATACCACACAGCACACAGGTACTACAAATTTCATTTGAATATTACTTCTCCACAGGACAGAATCTATTTCTCAAAAAATTCTTATATGTATGAATCCATTTACAAACCATTATAAGTGTCCTCCTGAATGTGCCATGTAGTCTAGGCCATTTATTCAGAACAGTGTCCCCACACTTGAACTCTCACTTCTTCCAAATATCACTTGGAGAGGAAAATCAGAGTGCTTAGCACCCCTTTAAGGCTCTAACACCTCTGGTTTGCACACTTATTTGAACATGGTTACACCTTTGCTAAAGGCACATGGAGAAGGAATAACAAAAGGAAAGAAAAAATGTAAATTAGTATGGAAAGCTGTATAGAGATTTCTCAAGAAACTAAAAATAGAACTACCATATGATCCAGCAATTCCACTACTAGGTATATATCAAAAGAAATGAAGTCAATATTGAAGAGGTATCTTCACTTCCATGTTTACTGTGGCACTATTCACAATAGCCAAATTTGGAATCAACCTAAGTGCCCATTAACTGATAAATGGAAAAGAAAATGTGGTTTAGACATACAATGGAATATTATTCAACCATAAAAAAGAATGAAATCCTGTCATTTGCAGCAACATGGATGGAACTGGAGGTCATTATCTGAAGTGAAATAAGCCAAGTACAGAAAGACAAATGTTGCATGTTCTCATTTACATGTGGAAACTAAAAAAGTGGATCTTGTGAAGATGGAGAGTAGATTCGTGGTTACCAGAGGCCTGGAAAGGTAGTGTGGAGGGAAGGATGAAGAAAGGTTGATGAGTGCGTATAAACATACAATATAATCGAAGAAATAAGACCTAGTGTTAGATCAGTAGGCTGCTATAATTTATAAAATCTATTGTATATTTCAAAATAAGTAGAAGAAAATATTTTGAATGTTTCTAGCATAAAGAGAAAACAAATATTTAAGGTGAAGGATATCCCAATTACACTACAATGATCTTTATAAATTATATGAATGTATTAAATTATCACATGTATTCCATATATATATTTATTGTCTATCAATTAAACATTAAATTAAGAAAAAGCCTTAAAAAAAGAAGATACTAGATAGATTTTCCAAGTTTAGATTAGAAAAGTCAAAATATATGGGGAAAAAAATTGGAGGGCTGGAACACTAATTCTAAATTTCAATTTAATAAAATTGAGTGGAATACATTAAATAAATTAATGTTGTCCAAGAGGAGGAAGAGAAAATCTTCAAGGTGTACAGTAATAAAACTGCATCAAAGGATTTCACGGTTGCCCAAGCTCTTGGTTCAGCATTCCCATTTGACAGTGGATCTGTGGGTGATGGGCCACCTCCACAAGAGTGATGCTTGATGTGTCTTGTAATATGTCCTGTCTATGTCTAATCCCGTGTTCCTTCCTGGAAAGCACTGAGGTGCTGGGCCAAGACATGGGCTGCCTACTGATGATAGAACTTTAGAATAAGTCTTCTAATTTTGTAGTTCTTATCCAAGAAAAATAGAATTATTTTCCCCATAACTACCAATGTGCTATGTAAATGTACATGTTGTACACAAGTGTAAATTCTCAATGTGGCAAGAAGGTTGAGAATTTGTGCCTTTTCACTTAAAGTACTTAAAGGCTATTATTCCTCAGCCTGTGGTCCTCTGTCTACAACACTGCCATCATCAGAGGTCTTGTAAGAAATGCAAAATCTTGGGGCTCAGCCCAGACCCAAATAATCAAAATCGGCATCCTAACATGATCTCCATTTGATTCATAAGCATCTTAAGTGCCGAGAAGCTCTGCTGGAAGTGTCTTTTCCAACTGTCTTTCTAGGGAGTAACTGCATACATAAAAAAAAAATCCTAATTTTGCTTAAAATTTCCAATTTCATATAAAACAGGTAAAGAGAAAACCTTTAGTTATAGGTTTATATCTTGCTTATTCATCTCTCAATAACTTTTTGTCTGAAATAAAATATATAAAATTTTTCCAGTTTATGAGATCCATTACTGACGTTCAGTTTGAGTTGTGTAAAACACATGAACTGTCTTTCTTAGGGCTTCAGTATTATATCATATTTTCATTTATTATTAGCTTATACTTAGATTTTAGCTCTTTCTTTCTTTTCTCTTTTTTTGAAACAAAGTTTTGCTCTTGTTGCCCAGGCTGGAACACAATGGTGCAATCTCAGCTCATTACAGCTTCTACCTCCTGGGTTCAAGTGATTCTCCTGCCTTAGCTTCTCAAGTAGCTGGGATTACAGGTGTGTGTCACCACACCTGGCTAATTTTGTATTTTTAGTAGAGACAGGGTTTCTCCACGTTGGTCAGGCTAGTCTTGAACTTCCGACCTCAGGTGATCAGCCCACCTAGGCCTCCCAAAGTGCTGGGATTACAAGCATGAGGACCTGGCCTGGCTAATTTTAGATCTTTCTGAAGCCAACAGATGACTGTTTTTTACAGTAAAACTGCAAGATCCTAATCAGGAAACTATTAACTTATTAACTTAGTTGCCTTTCCTCGCCGACAGTCCATTTATTTATTAGAAAATATGTATGTACTTAAACTCTTCTCCACTGAGAACATGTTTAGAATGTGAGCCAGAAAATCATCGTCTTTTGTTTTTTCTCACTTAGGCTTTTATTTCACTGTTTTTTCCTTCATGTTAGTAGAATTGGCAAACAATAAAAAATGGTATTTATAAGTGTTAAAAGCATTAAGGCTAAAACTGAGCTAGCAAACATTTCCTTTTATTTAGTACACAATAAATCTCAAATAAACTGTAGTGTTTATATTTTTAATATATTTAACATTTCTAACTAAAGTTTGCACAGCTCTTTGCAGATCAAAGTCTCCTTTTTCATCTAGTTTTATAATGAGACAGAATCATAACCACATGAAATTAGACAATTTTGTTTAGATCTGAATGAAAACTACAGAGATGATATGGTCTTCTCTAAGAGTAAAGCTAAAATGGAGATTTTATTCTACATTTTCTATTTTTTAATGTATTTTTTGGCTAAGATTTGTAGTTTTGACCAAATAAAAAATGAAAAATTTTGTAATTGCCTCCATTTCTTTGTCCTCAAAATAGCTCTGATAATTAATTTTTTAAAAATATTATATGCTCTTTACATCTAAGATACTTGATAACTCAAGGTGGGAATAATTTTACTCATAGAAATCAGTTTTTGGATCATATTAACATTCATTTTAAAACTGTATAATTTAAAATGGCTTATCAAATTCAAGTACTTCCAAATGTGGATTATCATAATTTTTGTACAGAAGTTAATCCATTGAAAATACCACATTACTAGGACCAGGCTGATGGTTCCTGCCTGTAATCTTAGAATTTTGGGAGGTCGAGGCAGGAAGATTGCTAGAGGCCAGGAATTCAAAACTAGCCTGGGCAACATAGTGAAACTCTGTCTCTAAAATATAAAAAAACTTGCCAGGCATAGTGGCAAACACCTATAGTCTCAGTTCTTCAGGAGGCTGAGGCAGGAGGATTGCTTGAGCCCAGGAGTTTGAGGGTGCATTGAGCTATGATCTTACCACTGTACTCCAGCCTGGGTGGTAGGTTAAGATCCTGTCTCTGAAACCACACACGCACACCCCCGCCCCCAGATGAATAATTGGGACACAGCATAGTACACTGGTTAAAAATCTCCTAATCATTAGTGAAATGTAGTAATTTAAATATATATGCATCAAGTAAGTATTGTCAATTTAAATGATTAAGAAGCCATAAAGAACTAGACTGAAATCAGGGATTTCATTTGAGGTTCCTCACACCCTTAGGAAGTTAGTTGGTGAGGGCCAGAAGGCAACGTGCACAGGAGTATGAACTTACTGACAGTGTGGCAGCTTCACAGTCTCTCAGGGTGTCAGACAGAATTCAAAGCACTTGCACCACGAAGGTCTTTTCAAATCTGTTGAGGCTGGATTTGCCAGATGTGTCATCTGAACCAGAAAGGGAGTCAATTTTATGCAACCAAATATCCTAGAATCACTTTGCATGCCAGTTTTGGCCTGCTTGTCTTGTTTCTCCCGTGCGGTATTCTGTGATCTGTGATATAAAGAAATTTCAATTCTACTTCTGATGGAGAGTGTATGACATTATTCCCTATAATCAATAAGAGAAAATTTACTTTTTATCATTCATAAAGATTTACTTTTTAAAAATTCAAATAATTATTATTAACTATCATAGTTTTATTTCACTTAAAAAACTAGAAACAAGGATCTTTCTTCAATAAAATCCTATTTTGTCATTTATATTCATTAAGAACAGAGACATGGCTAAAT